CCCCCCCCCCCCAATTATCGTTCTGGCTACACCACTGGTTGGAATGCAGTGAATTCTGATTCAGTATTTTTGACATATATGTTTCAAAGTTCAAATTTGAAGTATCAATTTGGCTACTGTAGCTAAATTTGGCATTTCTTAGTTCTATATTTACTTTATTCCTAGTTCTTTGATAACTCTTTACCTTTTATGCTCTCTCTCAACCATGTAACCAGATCAAAACATTTTGTAAATGCCTTTAAACAACTTCGCCTCGTTGGGTTGATATCCGTTAACAGATCTCCAGCTTTAAGCAATTTGTCACTCACTGAATTGATAGCTTGACTTTCAAATCTCCCACCGATAATCTGAAAGAACACATGACATCAAATAAACCATTAATCATAGACAAACATAAACAAAATAGCAAAATATTGAAAATATCCGAAAAGCAAAGTCTGTGAATTCAGACCTTGTGAATATAATAAAACAGTTATTCCACTCACTCTCGTCAAATATGAGCGATATAGCCGATTTGGCGCTACGCGCCTCATTGGCTATTAGCTCATATTCGTAGAATAACTCGAGTTCGTAGAATAACTGTTAATTATTCTAACACCGATTTGGGTGTTGATTTAGCACAAAATGGCGAAAAACAAAGATTCAAAATGGCGAAAAACGAAGGAGCAGTGTAGGTTAATAGACACACAAATTGTGGGCAAAATATCTCAATTTCTAAATATCGTATCGCTGGAATATCGATTCAAAGACTCATGGAAGAGCTGGAGATCAACATCAGTGTTTAGATATGTGAACTCAATTAACAATGCTACGCTGAAGTAGAGTGTAAATAAACTACAAAACTAGTGGGGCATAAAATATTCTTGTTATTATTTTGCGTGCCTTTGTGAGGAGGAAACGTCTGTACACTTTTAGGATAATTACACGTCTTTTATTATGTGAAATGGCACCCGAATCAAGTGCTTTTTAGGCCAGTTCTAGACGTCCAAAATCGGTGTTATTGTAACATCAAAAAAATTTGTGTTTAAGCACCTGCTTAGGTGTTTTGACACCTTATTAACTGGTGGTGTTAAAATGGCACCCGAAAAGATGTTATTTTGTACCTTTTTATTTAGCACCATATTTGGTGCTAAATTAACACCTTGAAATAAACAGTGCTGAGGGAACAGTTATACAACAAAATGTATATAGTCTAACCTCTTTAATATTTTCGACTTCTGAAAAATCGCCTTCAAGACCCATAATTTCTTTTAATTCTAGAATTGCCAGAGCAGCTTGCTGAGCATCAAAAAGTTGTTTATAACTCTTTACTTTTTCTATCCTGACCCCAAGTGTCTTCTTTACCTCACCCAAATGCGCTGTGCCACTGAAAAATCTTGAAATCAGCATGAACTCCTCCTCCAAGGCGTCGTAGTCCGTCTTGCACATAACTAAATATTTATCAACTTTCTTGAGTTGCATTTTACCATTGAGAAATTGTTCATTTATTGACTGGAGTTTGTCAAGAATTTTTGACCAAATCTTGTTGAATATAACTTCCATTGTCACAACTTCAGTTTTGAATTTTTCTCCGTATTTTTGCCATAACTTGTCAAATATTTGACTGCGTTTTATGTCAGTTATTTTCGACACCATCTCGTAAAACTTATCATCAAGCTTGAAAAACATGTCATATCCCCCAGATCTTTTAGTGCATAAATGCGCGTATGGATAATTCTTTATAATCTTGCACAGTTTTGTCACGCAAAGCACCAAGTTCCTCATCAACTAAAAAACATAACATGGTAAAAACTGTAAAAAATATCACTATTTTAAATTTCTTATTGGCGAATTTAGGAAAAACAGTATTAATCAATACAACCATATCAACCATGCTGATAAGCACAAAAAATACTAAAATTAAATTGAAATTCTGTTTTTAATCTATACCCAGACTACTTGAATCAAAAACATGCAAGCTATAGGCCAGAGTAATATGTAAATACATGAGTCCATGTTAAATAGCAGACGAGAAGACAGATGGCTTAAATTGATTGAAAAGTCTTGTGGATATACATTCAAAATTGGTCTTTTAAATATAGAATTTATGTATTCAATTCATGGTCTCTCAGTAAATTTTTTTAACGAAACATTAACCTCAGACTTGCCACAAGTCAATCTCATACCAGCGAGCGGTTAGGCCGCGAGTCGCATAGCCTGCATGGCAGGCGGTCCCTAAAATTGGGCAAGCCTGGGAAAGACCGCCTGCTGGACGGGAAATTCGATTACACTGCCAAACCCACCAGTGGACGGGAATTGATGATTGGCTGCGAGTCTGAGCAGCTGTCACTCAAAAGTGAATACGCTTTAATATGTAACATCATACGTTCACGTTTAATGAATGCGTTCGCTCAGCTGTTGTAAAACTGAACGCTTCTCGAAAGTCAAAACGCGAACTGATTCTCAAACGCGAGCAAGAGGCTGAGCAGTTAAAGATTTACTCCTTGGAAAGAATGCTTTGGCTACCTACAGGTTATGGGAAAAGCTTGATTTTTACATTGTTCTTGTTGGCGTGAGAAAATATAACGAGAACAAATACAGACGGCCGTATCGGTATAGTCTTTATTGCAACGGGTTTAACAGGACTACTAGGCCTATTAGTCGCTTCGTTTTCTGAACTTTTTAAGGCTTTCTTTACCACACGGCTTCGTTCGGCAGACAAGAAAGTTTATATTCGCAACTGACGTTTTTATACAACGGTCTATTTGTTCGATACGTACACAGGCAACGCGTTTATGTCTCGTTTGATTATGGCAATCAGTTCGCTTGCGTTTCGGATCTTTCGCCCGCACGGTTTACAAACTCGGTCGGATAGTTCCGAGGTAAAATTAACTTCGATTCCTAAATGAACTGAACACAATTCAGCTTATTTCGGCCAAGGTTTTGCCACTGTCGTAATCGTTTCTTTTCGGCTTGCCTTGAATAAGTTCTCCGACGATATATAAGATATTTTCTCTATTGCCCCGTATTTTAATTTCAAAGCACACTTAATACACAAACGACAGTGGTAATCAGGGCCGCAGAATAAAATGGTACACTGACCGAAATTTTCTTGGCGACGGGGGGGTGGGGGCGGGGGGGGGCGGGGGAGGTTGTTCTCCGGAAAAAAATTTTTCCGGAAAAAAAGTTTTAGATAGGGGCCCCTAAAAAAAACTTTGCCCCGGGCCCCCGCCAACCTCTCGGCGGCCCTGGTGGTAATTTACATTTTCCGCGCTTGTTTTTCTACCTCTTGTCGTTTACTGATTGAAACTTTCAATGGCGTTTCTTTCGACATATTCTGATATTCAGTTATATTTGCAATTTAGCGAAAAAACAATAACATATTTTGACAGTTTGATTATTAATATATTTAGTGTTTGCTGATTGGCTAATTGGACGCGGACAAAAAAGTGGGCGGTTATCAAATTACACTGCCAAACCTCTCTCCTCCGCAGAGGTTCAATGAGCTTTACATGGCGCTTACCGTATCGAACCGCTGTGTTGAAGACGCCCAGGGGGAGACGGGGAAAGCAGGAAGCGAAACCTCTGCCAGAAGTCGGTCGAAAAAGTGCTAAATTGGACGAAAAAGTGCTAGAACTTGAATAACGCTCAAAACAGTGTTAAAATATTAGCGTTCTCCATGTGATTTGAAGACTTTAAACTGTTTTTAATTATCTGTGCCCTGTTCGGGGGAGGGGCGTATATGTTTATCAAAGCGAGCTTAAGATGCACCAAATCTACGGACGCGGACGTGAAGAAAAACTATAACTATTCCCACAGTTTCATTACACGGATAAATATTATGGCCTCCAGTTGCTAAACAAAGTCAGAGACACACTAGTGAAGCAAAATAAAACTGGATTCCAAACATTATCAACGGTTCTTATGTCACGTCCGCGTCGTAGATTTGGTACATCCTAAGCTCGCTATAGCAAGTATGGGGAATTCAGAAGACACATTCGAAGAGTCAGTATTAAACGTATCATTTGATGAGCTTTCCATTGAAGGTTAGTGTCAAAGAAGTTATATCTCTTCAATTAAAAACTTTGTATACCGGGTGGCCCAAAAAAAAGTACTCATCTTTGATTCAGTATAACTTAAAAAGTAAAAGAGTTCTGACACTTAAACAATATAGGCATTGTATTCAGTAATGTATAACTTAAATTTTCGTATATACCATTTGCATTTTAATACAGTATTGACTGAGATAACTGCGTTTAAAGTTGAGTTAACGTTTCGGGAAATGTCGAAAATGAGCAAAAAACGGCCTATTAAATGTTAATACCGCAATAACCTGTGCGTAGGTACACTGCAGTCGAGAAGTACACGTTTGTTTTCCAGATAAAAATGCTATTCATTAGGAAATGCATGCCCCGCAGCAAGAATGCACTTTCTTGCCCGTGTGAGCATGCAGTCGAATGAATTTCGGATCATCTGGGCATCCAGGTTGCGGCATGCTGTTACAATTG